CATTAAACGGCCAATCGGCTTACTTTTTCATGCTCTTTCAGACGAAGCAATAAGATAGATGAAGCAATTTTCATTGCCCATACCCTTTAAGTAATATTATACAGCATGAGCGGCCGTGTTGTATCAGATATACAAACTCGAAAGTTATACACGCGAATGCTGCAGATAGCTTGTGAAACGTAAGGATTTCAACAGTTGTGTTTTAAGGAATTATTCAAAAAGAAAATCGAGGCAAAAGTTTATGCAAGTCCGGAGAATTTTGTGACTTCTTTTAATTTTCTTTATGAATTATTACTGATTGTACAAATATTCCTTTTAATATTATACCATGTTACTAACACTAAATCACTATACACTCGATAAATCATCGAAAACTTTTAAACTAGCTCCACCTAAAAGTTATACAATACACAATATTTTGAGTTATACAATATACATATAGAACTGCCACCCAGTAGTCACTGGATCGTTTGATATGCTAAGTGTGCTATACTTGTCCACTGCCACTAAATCATGCACTCAATAAATCAATACTAATTCTTGAACTAGTTCCTGCTAAAAGTTATACAATACACAATACTTTGAGTTATACAATACATACAGTACTGCCATCCAGTTACTGGATGCCGCTAACTGTTGAACTACCTCCTACTAAAAGTTACATAACACGCAATACTAGTATAGCAGGGTTCGTAGTCTCAAAGACCAAAACATTTCACAGACTTTCAAAAACTTTTTCGGTCTATTTTCAAAAGCTTTTCAAAGACGTTTAAGAGCAATCAGCTGTGAAAAAATTGCAATTGTATAAGGGCCATTTTTACCCGGTAATTGGTCCGTCCAATCACATCGTAAAATGCGCCTTCTCTTGCTGCAATCCATATTTTAATTGAATTGAATATGGTGGAATAAAATCTTCTTTGCAGCATAAGCTGAATTACAAAGACATAACAATGAGTAAAAACTAATAATAATTATGGGCTAAAATCTACGATAAAAAGATTGAATTGAATAATTCCGTTAAAATCTAGGATAAAACCTACGATACAGATCCATTTTATTAACTACGGAATTGTATATAGCAACTACTCACTAAAAAAACTTTTTTCACTTTTTCATACAATTCATAGATCTTTCAAAGACCTACATTAAAATTTAGACTTTCAAGGCTTTGAAAGACCGCTATGCCTACGAACCCTGCATGTACGATTTATACAATACAGAGGGCGGTTGGCCGCAACTGTATTATATTTATACGAAGGGACATTATTTTTTATCCGAAACTTATGCAAATTATTTTCTACTTGTGGTATACTAAATGTTATACAAAGCGTAATTATACTTTCGATCCGAAACACACTTACTACTCGCCATCTACAGTCGTGTCCACTCCATTATGGTTCACTCTTCGTCAACCTTCCCAACCTTAGCGAAGTCGATGCTTGCATACTCAGTTTGTCCAGCGCGTTCTTCATCTCGTTTCTTTTTCGAATTATCTGATTGTAGCGCGAGTGAGTCAAGCGTTGCATATAACTGCAAAGAATAAGTCACTTTTGAGAACTAAGAATTACTCGTTTTCAATAGAGGGTTTAAGAGGCCGTCAGACCATACCGGGCTGACGCTAATGGGGTCGTGAATTATGGCACATGGGGTGGACCATTATATATCCTGGGAGGGGGGTAATGGGGGTGAGAGATAGCGTATTCCAAAAAAATTCACGGGTGGAATTTGAAAAAAATTATGCAAGCAAATGGAGAAAGAAAAAATTCCTGCAACTACATGGAATATAAAGAAATATGTGGAAAAATTTCCGCACACCTTCTACACTGTAAGAAAAAGTTCGACAAAAGCTCCGAACCTCTCGTACTCTCCTAGAATATCTAATGGTCCCCCTAAAGGTCACTTTTTGGCAAGGGAGGAAAGGCGAAGGTCCGGAGAAAAACCTTTGAAGTCAACCACAAAGTCAACCACATTCTACAGGAAAAATATCCACACAGGAAAAATATCCAACAAAAGTAAATCCCGTACCATGGAGCTCCAACAACAGGCCTAAAGGCTGCTTTCCAGTTGAGCGCTTTGCATACGTTCGTGTACTTACGGAAAAGTTTAAACCTTATTAAATTGTATATGAATACTAACTACCTCAACAAATACACATTAAATAATGCAGAAAACCAAATGCTGTCTTTTTATTTATTTAGTAATTTCATTAGTATAATGTAAATGATACCTCAAACTCATTAATAATAACATGAGTAAATTAGCCAACCATATAGACTTGGTTCAAGTCCGTTTCCCAAGGGGTTGAAAATAGCGTGCACGCGAGAGGTCAAAAAAGGCGCGAAAATATGAGAGAAAAGTAGGAAAATATGGACTTGGATACCCTGCAAGCGCGCCAGATTTTACCGTCGGATTTTTCCTACGGAGGCGTGACTTGCCAGTTGAGAACAACAACAAATTTGCAAACGTCTCAAGTCCGTCTCTCCCTACTTTTCTCCTCAGACGGACTTGAACCAAGTCTACCAACCATATTGCTTTATTTTGCTCACATGATAGTACTGGAAACCTGGTGAAGAGTATTGATCTAAGTCCTAGGACTGGATCAAAATTAATTCAGTCCTTGGACTGGATCAAAATTAATTCACCTCACTTTACGTAGTGATTTATTCGTATGAGATGTCATTTCAAATCCTCCAATTTGGACTGGACTAAATTTCAAATTGCGCGAATTTGACATCTAGCCCAGTCCTCATACAACCTCGTTCCCAGGCTCGTACCTCTTGTGGAGGAAAGACCCTGGTAAGAGCTGGTCACGTGATCTGCTAAAATCTAGCAGATTTTAATTGATGATGATAATGTTGATAAATCTTTGATATTTATACTTTAATTTATAACTTGCTTTGCAACTTTGACTTGATTTTAAAGGAATCCAAGATAGTTAATTAGAAATCTGCTAGATTTTAGCAGATCACGTGGCCAGCTCCTACCAGGGTATTTCCTCCACAAGAGGTATAAGCCTGAGAACGAGGTTGGTTCTCATAGTCGGATTTGAAATATTACATGGAAGACGTTAGCTGAACGGCAGCCTTAAAGCCTAGTTCTCATTCATCGCAAACTGTCACCGACAATCGGCGACGCTTATCGCCGATGCTCGCCGATCGCGAATGCACGAAAGTTCTCATACATCGGTGATCGTCGCAGATGACAGCCGATGTGTTTCGAAATTTCCCGCCAAGGCAGAAAATGGCCCCGTTCAACGTAAAGTTCATGATTTCTGTCAAACTTCAGTTGATTATTTCCTTGCTTGTTGAGGTGGATGATCGCAAGAAACAAACTTTTTTGTTTCCTGCGATGTCATCGCCGATGGTCGGCGACGATCACGGGCAATCGGCGATATAATTTTTGATGTGTTCTCATAAATCGCACGCGGTCGCCGACGTCGCAAAGCTCCCATCGCCGACAGCTTGCGATGAATGAGAACTAGGCTTAACAGTGCGGGTTGTAGGAAAGCCGTTTAACTTAAACGGCGTTTAGCCGTTACTATCAAGTGTTTAAATTTTATCCGGCGTATAGCAAGTTAAACGGTGGATAGTGACTTAAATGGCTTTCGTACAACCGGCCCCAGTTATGTAAAGATGAAACCTTGTATCTGCCACTGAACACAGGCAATTGCCCTACTTAAGTAAATTTCCTATCCTCGATATACAACAAGAGGCTTCTTACTAAAACCGCGGACCTTCCTCTCGCCCGAAAAACGCGTGGTTTTCGTGTCAAAACATTAAAAAATGCGACTACATTCCTAACGAGGTGAAATCGTCAATTTGGAAATGGCGGCATCTCATTGGTCGGCGAGAAATTGTGCTAAAATTAGCTGTTACAAAAATAGTTTGACATTTTCGCACTAAAGTACAACCCCATTATGTAGAACTCGCTTATCTCGAACTCCCCGTTATCCCGAACTTAAACCCATTTCCATGCAGTGAATTGGTCAAATACTACTTCAATAATTTTTACTCGGTTATCTCGAAATCGGTTACTCGAACACCCCGCTAAATAGTAATTTTGCTTCCTTTGACCAAATTTACCTGGTGAAGTCGAACTCTAAAACAGACCATACGAAAGAATGCACTCCTTCAGTATAAAATACGAACAACATATACTTATTAAATAAATTGCATTGGCATTGTTTATTGTATACTTCAAATAATGAAAGTCGTATCGGTAAATCATGGATCATGCACAACCACGTCAATTTTATTTAATATTATTAACTATTTTTTGTAGTCCGAAACTGATTCGGTTATCTCCAACCCTAGCCTGCTGGCAGCCCGAAATTTCGTTCGGGCTGCGAGCAGGTTACTCCAACCTCCGTTATCTCAAACTTTTTTTGTTTCCCATCAGGGTCTTAGCTAGAGGGCCGTGTTGGCCGTGTTATCGCGGCCAAAAGTGCAAAAGCACGGCTAGATAAAATTAACGCGGCTTCACTATTTATATAAGGCCGTGTATAGGTTAATAAAATAAGGTGGTGCTATACTTACAACAGACAGAATTTCTTCCTATTTACGTCAAGAAAGTTTGTAGAATCTACTGTTGTTGTTGAATTGGCAAAAGTGATCCGCGATGTTTTAATGTTTTGATGGATAATGGGAACTGTATGGTGTTAAAATGGTTTTAAATACCCCAATAGTTGTTGAAATAACTTAATTGTCAGTGCGCAATATGAGCGTATGCTCGCCTTGTATTTGGTTGCAAAGCATAGAACAACCACAGGCATTGTTGTTGGCGAGCATAACTATAGAGCCATTATTTTGGTATTCAGAGTAATTGACATGTGCACGCCCTGGTCATTAGAAACACGCCCAAGATCTAAAATCCTAGCTAAGACCCTGTTTCCCATGGCTGTTCGAGATAGCTGGGTTCTACTGTAGTAGGCGTAGCCATGTAGTCGCATTTCTTAATATTTCGACACGAAAACAAGACACGTTTTTTCGGGCAAGAGGAAGCATCGGCAGTTTTGGTCATAACTCAGGTTAAAATTAAAACTGTCACATACCGGTTTTCCATCCTTGTTGCCCTTGTCCACAGCGGCATAAACAGAGGAGGGAGTATTTTCTTCGGGGGGTTTGCTCTTACTTCCGGACGCTTCGGAGGGGTTCACAGTATCGTAAGCATTGTCAACTCCTCCGTCAGGTTCTTCATTTAGCTCGTAGTGGTTTACAGGGATTCCAGCGCTGTCGCCTGGGCTTACGTTCGCATTTCCACTAAAACAAGACGATCTATGAAGCGTTATAACGCCGGGGCTATGGAAAGAAACACTTTTAAATGTGTTTATGTGTGGCACTACAAAATGAATAGCATGGCCATGGGTAAATTGTGAATGGATGACATAAACATCGAACATCAATCATTGTAGTCACTTATAAAGCTTCCATATAGTACTGTATATTTGTATCACCCTTTTTGCGGTAGTAAGAATTCGCATGCATGTTAATTAAATAACGTTCAGTTCTCTATCCAGCGGAACTATGAGCTCAGCCGAATTTTACATTTCGTGTCTGGATGTACAATACAAATTTCAGGCGAAAACTACAACCGCTGGCGCGTCCAGCGATTAATAGCTCCATACACTGTAAATATTTCTGGAGTATAAGAACTCGCGTCCAAAAATGAAGCCATAGATGACAGAAATTGATGTCCAGTGCCAACTCTTTCTATTGTTTTTGCAGGGTGCGATAATTCGCGTACTTACGTACCGCAGGTACGTCAATATTACGGTCTGGTACTTCTGTCTTTTCAATCACGTACCACGTATAGGTACGCGGTACTCTTGTTATCTGCGTACTCAACTTTTTGCTCGTACCATTTGACCTTTCCAAGCCCAAGTTATTCAAGACCATAATTTAGTCGAAATTATATGTGTAAGTCTAGCATGACTTGGCATTAAACATGACTAGACTGATATGATGAGATGGGACTAAGGAATGTTAGAGTCAATCATAGTGTTTGTGTATCGAACTACTAGTTTCATGTTACTGAATGAATACCTTTCGGAAACCTGTTCAATATATGTACTTCATTCTAAAGACTAAGTATACCTTAAATCTTAAATTTGTACTACCAGTCAGGTACCACTAAAAATTTTGAATTATCGCACTCTGGTTTTTGTCTGCGCAGTTAACTATACTATGGTTTATTACAATCTGTTTGCTGGTAAAAATGACATTAAAACGGTTTACGATCTCATACAGTTTGGCGTCAATTTCCGCCATCTGGCTTAACTCTTCTTATAGAACTTACGGCGAATAATAACACAGCAACAGGTATTGTACAAATAATGAATGGTAAGAATGTTTTCATGAGATACAAACTCAGAACATTCCAAGAATTAAGATATAGTACAAACAATGCGCAGCAAGGGCGTGCAATGATGGAACCTTCCAGTAAAATGGAAACATCTGTCAAAAATCACGTGATAATAATTATCCAATTAAATGACAACAATTTAACCAGCCAGCACAAGTTTGTGCCCTGTGATTATGGCGATGAATTTGGTTTAAAAACATTATTAGATTAATGACAGATGTACGCGCTTTTTAAAACGTTGAAAAATATAGACCCATGATGAGTGGCTTGTGAGGTCGGTACCCACTTGGATGAACTGATTGATTACGACAAAAGACAATAAACTGTCGAAATCAAAGTTCTAAAGAACGAATCATCAACACTGATCACTTTTGTTTTAGAAAACCAATTACAAAACATGTTCATATACAAGGTAGTTATAATTTACCGGGCATGTGAACATGTCAATAATTATGGATGACACTCAAGATACAGTCATGCACTGAACATATATTGGGATGATACAGTTTCTAACAAAATGTTTTTACAACAAAGTTTTAATAAACAAAAATATTCGCTTACCTATAACCGTCTTCTAAAATAACAAATTTAAAAAAATATAAAAGCAGTGAGTCAAGGAATGGGTTATTAATAAAAATATATTATAATACATGGTCTAAATACAACACGAAAGGCTGCGCATATCGTGTATATAAGACAATAATAAATAACGAGTGGCAATGTTGCTTGTAAATCTTTTGCCACACATGCATAGCATGAAATTCATATTCTATATGCCCACGTTCTGCGGGTAAGTTGAAAACTCCTCGTTCTAACAGGAGATAAGAGACAGCAAAACAACATAACGAAAAACTTGGTGGTGTTCATATGGAACCAGTAATTACCGAGACAGGTTGGCAAGCAAGATGAAGTTTACTTGTGTTTATATAAGAAAATTTCATCCCGCTTGCCGCGACAATTTAATTGCGTTTACAGTTTTTGAACATAGCTCGGGCCAGAATCTCTTTGTACTTTCATCCTGGCAGTGTGTATCGGACGTTTTGAACTCTATAACTGACAATTTCGCTCGGTGTCTATATAAAAACTTCTTAGTAGCAAAAATCACAGCAAATGTCCTTATCACTGATTGAACTGAAGCTCCAACCTCGTTCCCAGGCTCTTCCCTCTTGTGGAGGAAAGATCCTGGTCGGGGCTGGTCACGTGACCCCGCAGATTTCGCGTGGTAATTGAAATTGATCTCAGGGAGAGGTAGTAGAGGAGTCTATTTGTTGCGTTTGGAAAATTGCAATTTTATGTGTTATAGTTTCGGGTGATAAAAAAGTAATTTGCAACAAGAAATCGTGAAAGGAAATGTTCTAAATTCGTTTTCATCATGACACGACTTCCTGCTATACTGAATGTCATCAATAATAAGTGTTGCGGTACATTTCAAGCGAGAAACTGGATCATATTTCACTTGCAATGAAAGGACTTCACGCGCGCCTGGTTTGCGACTAGTTGAGCAGGTTCGCCGTAGAAACATACATATCTTCTACACGGACTGATCGACCAAACGAACGATATGGTTGTTTATAGTCGAAGTGTATCCTGTCCGGTTTTAAACACAAAATATTTATTTTATAACGGGATCCTTTGATTTCCTAAACATGAAACATCGCAAACTGTGTGTAAACAATGCTACGGTGTATCCTGACTGTGAAAGCACAGGATTAAAACCCGTTATGGACTGTAAAATTCCTGCATTTACATTGCTGAAACTCAACGATCAAGAATGATTACGACGAAATATAGCTATCTGTTATCATCATACGAACGCCAAAGCTCCTCCGTGTGTTTCCGTGCGCGCGGTACAACTTGAATATTTAGGACGAAACATGCAACAGACACTGGAATTGTACTTTATAGTAAATTATTTCATATTAGCAGGCACATTATAAATCTTGTAAAGACCTTTCATTGGCATTGCCATTGCCCCATTGGGCTTTCCTGGAACAGTAACCCGGCTTAAAATCCAGCTTCTCTCGACTTGTATCATGCCACTGTGCCTGTGGGTCATCGATATTTATATCATTATCAACCTTAATCTTTATCATATACTGTGATGGACCTTTTGGAAGTTTCACCAAACGATACTGGGGGAAAACAACCTATCTATCAATGGAAAAGGCTTATAAAAACTCATTAAATAATTCTATGGACTATGAGCGAGACTTCGTGCACACATACAGTTTATGAATTATGTATCCCTGATCAAACGTAGGGACACTTTATACCAGATATAATAAAAAAATACTTTGATAAAGTGATAAACCTTATCGGCTATCATTCCTTTGCATTCAAGGGGCTAGGGTGAATGGTTATAGAATTATATAGAAGTGGTGGTGCAATATTTTGGCTTCAACATACAGGTGCTCGTGCAGACAAAAAAGGAAAATTATTATATGAACACTCCTTCCTACCTGGTGTTTATAAATGCAGACGATGATAACCTATTTCAGTTTAAAAAAATCTAGAGCACTATGTGTATAAACGATTTTAGAATCAATAGAATGGACATTCAATATCTATTTGTTGGCCAGTGCCAAATGTGCAACGTTTGCTGTAACACCAACAGGCAAGGCGCTACGACCAACACAGTCGCTTTTGAGACCTCTGTTTAACAAGTAAAGCAATGCAAAGTTTATACCGTTTCCAAATGACAACAATTCAATGGCATATTATAACAATATTATAAATATCTGAACTAGAGGCAGAACGGAAACGTACGCGCCCGAAAGAATAAAAGACTGAGCAAATATTTCAAAGCATACGATCATACGTGTTCATTGCTTGATTTCCTGACTTGTCTGTTGCTATAAGAATCTACAGTTGTACAGAACGGTCACTCCTTGCAATCGACGTGTGAAGTGCGGAAGTGGAAACATGTAATTTGATACTTTTCCATCCCCCTCTTAGGCTATCAATTTTCTATGGATCACGTGACCAGCCCCGACCAGGGTCTTTCCACCACAAAAGGGAAGAGCCTGCGAACGAGGTTGCTGAAGCTCCTATTTGAAATACACTTACTTTCTTTTGATTTATAGCGCCATCCCACAACAATAACAATGACCGCTAACACCAACGCACCAATAACTATTCCAATAATTGCACCAATGCTCAGATCATTGTCATCGTCATGTTTATCGTCATCTCCATCTTTTTCTTTATCGTAAAAATATAAATATAAATAAATAAATGAAAGTTATGACAGTAAGGGTTTCCTTCTTTAAGCAAATAAGCCCCAATACGCCCCAATGCATTTGTTATGTTATAAAAATTTGTTATTTTACTCTGCCTAACAACAGACAATTTTACTCGCCAAGAGTAGGGTCATGACCACCATGATAAATACTATAATGGGTTAATACTATATATGAAAAACATTTATCAGCTCTGATTGGCCAAGACTCAAAGTTCTAGACTTCTAGTGTTCCCACACATTTGGTCTCTTAATTGGTATATTCTCTAATTGTCACTAGCTAGCTTAATGTTATGGGTCTGACATTGGACCTCATGTTACTAGCTTAATGTTCTTACATGTTATGGCTCAGATGGTACTCACATATCGAGCAGGTCAGTACGGCCATCCGATCACATACTTGGTATACTTAAACGCTCAACTGCCAAGGTAAAAAATGTTAAGTCTAGGCGGTGTCTCTACCTTACACTTGTGAGATCTCATCTTGCATATATCTCACAAGTTTTCAGTCCACAGACTACCGCAATGTGTATGGAGCTCGAGCTTTTACGACAACTGTTTTGCTGTAATCTGCCAACCCATTTTCGCTCTACCTAATCTATATTCCCACAACCTGTTAAAGAGCACGTAACACTTGTTTGCACATGTACCTTCATAATTATTATTCAAAATTACGGCCTTCACGATTTATTCACAGCTCATCTCGTTCCAAACTTATCGGTTGTGCATAAGGTTGCAGCAATAAGAAGAAAGTCTGATATCTCAGAAGTGATTCAACGAAAGTAAATGAAATTTTGTTCAGTTAGTAAGTGCACTAAACAAACATTTTCGAACGATGTTTGTGCTAACTTTTCAGCTTGCCCGGTGTGGATGCACACTCAGAGTAACATCACAAACATCATATTCACCTGTGTATATTACACCAACACACACAAATTAATCATTTTCGAACGGTTATGTGGTTGTCAAAGCAACACACTAGTTACCAGGTCTCTCTGTCCAATTTGTCTAATTCTTTGCTTCCAACAAAAAAGAAGAACATTTTTGTGATTTCATTTATTACTACCGTTCATATAGGTGCTGTGTTGAATATAAACTAGTAAAACTACTGAATTAAATAATAAAGTGTCTACCGCAGGCATTACTAAAATAAGAAGGAGACCAGGCAACTAGTGTGTTGCTGTTACAAACACATAGGTGCAGCTGCTAATTGTATCAAATTCTTCTCTTTGTTGCTATCTTAAGCACAACCAGTGATGTCATAACACAAAAATACAAAATGCCCGATAATTTGAGAAAGAGACGAGCCTGTGAATAAATTGTTAATTAAGGTCTTAATCATTTTCAATGTACTTTCAAGTAATGCATAAAAATGGGGGGGGGACTTTAACCTTTATTTAGTATTTCAGTATTTGGTCTATTACAAACTTCAATGCGCTCTCTGCTTCGTATAACATGGACTATGTTGCAATTGTACATATGTTTTAATGTTTTGTATTTGTTTTGCAACAAGACGCTAACGTAACTGGCTCACAGTGTTGTTAGTGCTCCTAGCCGTTCTAAATGTGTTAACTGCTGAAGTTTAACACATATATTAATTATTATGGACCCTCTCTGATGATTAACAAGCTTTTAATCAGATGTGTATAATATTTACCTTTAACATCCAACATGTATTATAATAAAGTGATAATTTCAATTGTTCCGTGTCATTTTAATTTTCGGGAGGAATAGCAAAATGTGAATGCAGTTTTTCACAGGAGCTATTCAAATCACTCTGCAAATATATGTATACGCTTAGAATGTCTATTTTTTAGCTTATTTTCTTAAATTGTCGGTTGTTCTGCCTTTCTGCCTTGCTTGGTTTTCGAAATAAATCGACTCATTTTTTTTCTCAAGCGTGCATTCCGCCATCTTGGATATGCATTCATAGACGGATTTTCTGGGAGGGTGCAGGGGGGTGCTACCCCCCAATATTAGCTATAATCCCCCCAAACAAAATGTCCACCCCTCCAAAAAATTTTCAACCCCCCCCAATATTTGCCATAATAAATAAATAATTAAATAGTCCACTCTAACGTGGAGAGTGTTCATGATACAAAATAAACGTAGGAGTACACTCAAACAGAAAAAGTGCAACTCTCTGAAACTAATTGCTCCTCGCTTGCATTCACTGGTTTATTGGAGAAATTGTAAAGTTTTGAAACTCTATTATCTCCCCTGAATAGAGTTTACATTGCCTTGTCATGCGAATAGCTTGCACGCAAGGAACGTTTGGAATTTTTACGAACATTATTTTTAGTGTTTAATTCTTTTAGGAAATAGACTTGCCTAGATTTAATCTTTACGCCCCAAATATTATTTACATCGGAGTTGCATCATAAATTGTACTCGAATTCAAACAAAACAATGTCAATGACTTTATAAAGGTAAAAGCATATTTTCTATTGGCCTATTGGGTTTACACTTTTATAGGTTCATTTAACTTTAAGTCTTTAACTCTCTCAAGTCTCAACAGACAATCGGACATGCCAAATCCATGAATTGATATGACAAATTGACAATTTCAAAAAAAATTTTTTTTCGAAGCTAGAAATCATTATTTTTTTCAGATTTTTCCTGGGATACTTTGTTTTCTTCTCTCTAGACTCCCCCTCGCGGTTCTAGTGCTCCACCCCTAGAATATAGACCTTATTGGGGTTTGGTGACATTTTGTGTTGCTTCAGTAACCTGCTCACGGCTCACCCCCCTAAAATTTCTGGCACCACCCCAGCAAAAAATATGAAAATCCGTCTATGTATGCATTCGATATGATACGTCACAAGTAGGGTAAAAAGCGAAATTTTTATCTTGCAAACCACATGTCATTATCAATACGAAACTCCATTTTCCGAAGTATTTGTAGTACTCAATTAACTCACAACATTTCAAGAAAATTTTCGACGAAATTTAGTCCCACATGAAGAGGTTTTAACAAGTTTACCCTGCTTGCGACGTCACCAAAAACTCAGTTAATTAGGTCAATTATAATACCAAGATGGTGGACTGCACACTGCTTCTGGTCAAAATATTTCGAAACCCAAGCAAGGTACGAAAAAGTTGTAAAAAGTCTTCATATATAACTGTAAAAGTTCTTTCAAATAAGACAAAGTTAATTTTTATTGCCATATATCCCTTTAAACTATAGTTCCTGATCTATATTATTTATTATTTATATTTATTATTTTATTTATAATGAATATAAATAAATATGTTGTTGTTGCATATTACTGCTCACCCCCATGTATATACTATACTACCAGTTTTTCGTTTTCGTGTTCCTCCCACGTGTATTTTCGCAAAGAATAGAATGGACAAAAAGTAAAAAATCTAATCTTACCTACGGTTAAAATATCGGAATCGGAATCATTTCCATGTTTATTCCATGCAATGCATTCATATGTTCCATTATCACTCAACTTCGCTTCAGATATGGTATAGAGCTCATCAGTAGTGAGCACGATACGATTATTGGTTATGTTGTACCTTGGTTCAGGACGACCTTCAGATTCACACGTTATGTTAACTGATTCACCAACTTTAGCTTCTTTTGGTGTAATCGTAATATTTGTGTTGTTAGGTTGTGACTGTGAAAAAACAAAACTTCCTGT